TAGATTTTGACGAGAGCAGTGGTGACAAGCGCCTCTCTGTAACGAGAAATTTAGGAAACACAAAAAAAAAAAAAAAAAATAGGAAAAGAAAATAGCAAAATTTCGTGAATTTAAAGCTACATAATTTCCTTGGAAGAACGCAGAAAAATATTCTTTTCATCCTGTTATGAAAATTTTATAGCAAATGTTGTATTATAATCAAAAATAATATAACATTTATAATAACGTAATATAACAATTTATATATCGCGAAACACATGTTTTATGATCATAGAGTTTTAGATTCGGCTCAAACGAAATAGTATTTCAAATTTAAGATTTCAGCAAACGAAACATATTTTCATTTTAATCTGAAACGTAAAATGAAATACTTTGAATATTCTCGCTTGAAGCATTAAGTCATTCCACAAGTAATACGATTTTTTTTCCATTTATCATTTCACGCAAACCTTGGAATTTTTATCGAGCTACAGAGACAAATTAAAATAAGAACAGAAGTTGTAAATAACGATAGTTGTGATAATATTAAATGTCTAATTCTTATTTCTAATAACATTAAATGTTTTTCTTTTTTGCATTGTTTTAAAACTTTTTTAAAAGAGTTAGAACCATGATATTTATGGAATGATCTAACATTTCTAATTTTGGCAAATATATGCTTAGAAAAACGATGGAAAAATCAGTTATACTATAATTTTCAATAGACAGTATATAATAGGAGACAAAGAAACTATACTCAACCATGTATTGAACGTGAATCATTATTTTCAGCAGTAATATTTGAAATAATAAAGAAAACGCATGAAGACAAAATCCAAATATTTTCAATGCTCTTCAAGTGAAATAGTTTATTTCTAAAGTTCCACGTGTACTTAAAAATAAATGGGATTATTTACTATTTATGATTAGAAACAATAGTTTACTCAGTTCTGATTGAACTTTTCAAAGATTGCATTTAAATATTGTTTCAATCTGATTGAGAATCTCGTTCATAAAGAATAACGGAAGTTGATTCTTGATCGAAAGGATTGCTTTTAAAACCTACCTATTGGATGCAAAGTAATCAAACAGAAGAGACAACGCAAATTTTCTGTATCAAACTCTCGAGACAATCGTATAAAAAAAATAAAAGAAAGAAAAAATAGTATAAAATAATAATAAAATAATAAAATAGTAAAATAGTAAAATAGTAAAGTAGTAAAGTAGTAAAGTAGTAAAGTAGTAAAGTAGTAAAGTAGTAAAGTAGTAAAGTAGTAAAGTAGTAAAGTAGTAAAGTAGTAAAGTAGTAAAGTAGTAAAGT